AGAGTGCCTGTATTTCTCTTAGTCTGGGGCTAGGCTAAAGGACAAGAAACAGGAGGTAATTTAGGGAAGAAAGGAATGCTTGATGAGACAGTTGTGTCTAGTGCATTTCCAGGGAACTGTCTTACAAACTTAGGAAGCTGATACCCAGCCTGGGCTACATAGAGAGCTTTTATTTTCTTCTTATGGGAATCGCTGAAAAAAGATCACTAGTAAAGCATAAAGCCAGCATCAGTCTTATAAATCATTCTGTGTACTTCATTTCATTCATCAAATTGTTGAAAACAAAACAACATTGACCCAGCTAATTAAAACTTACTGATCTCTCTCCAAGCAACACAGTATCAGCACTGAGGTTGGTAGGAATGTGTAACATTTGGAGGTAAAGAAATGGGAAGGATGCTGGAAAGGGACATTTTAAGTTAATGTATCATCTTAGTTTTCTTTTTCTTCTCTTGAAGTGTGTGGAAAGTGGAACCCCAGATCTTTCTTAAGTATAAGACTTGAATTTTGCTTTTCTGAAGTTAAATCTGAAAGGTGGTGTAAAAAATGGTGTAAATGGGACATTTCTAGAGGTTCTTGATGTGGATGGAGGATGCTCTGACCAGTAGTTTGCTGGTATAGTTGAGGGATGGCAAGGAGCTGCATGATTGATATGAAAGGTGGAGATAGTTAAAGAGATCAGGGTTTGGAATGCAACTGTTCTGACAGTCAGTGTGGTAAGGAGAAAACTGTTCATGGTCACTAAGAGAGCATGGGAGGCTTCTGCCTTTTTATGGCTCCTACAGCACACATACATCCTGATCTCCCTAATTAGGTCAGATCTCCCACTGTAGGCTCTCATAGCATCCTGTGCCATTCCTTGGTAGCTCTTGTCCCCTTTGCATTCCCCTTCTTCCTGTGTTACTTTGTCTCCAACCATACTCTACTGGTCAACTCCGTGAGGGCAGGGCTCAAATCTGTTTATGGTTACCACTAAAGGCCTGATGCACGAAAATTCATGCAAGAGTAGGCCTTCCTTTCCCCAGCTGCCAGCACCGGCCTCCCTCCTGAACTGGCTTGCCTCTGGGACCTGGGCTTCCCTCCTCCTGCCGCCTGCAGGCACCTGGAACCCAGGCTTCCCTCCGCTGCTCTGGCAGGCACCCAAGACATTGGCTGGCTTTCCTTCCCCCCCCCCCCGCCGTTCCCTCACCACCCATAGGCACCCGAGATCCTGACCGATTTCCCTCCCGTCCCTGCTTTGTCAGGAAAAACCTGGTCTAATTAGCATATTCCCCTTTTATTGGTGCCTAGTATACTGACAGGCACGTAATATACAAATTAGCAAATACTTGCTGAACAAGTGTGACTAAATTAAAACATTTACTGGATCCACTTTATCATGTAGAAATATAATATTACCTCCAACTTACTGATTAAGGTGGGCTTATTTTTCAAGCTCCTGGTGTAAAGGATGTTGAACTTGGAAGAATACAGAACAGTGAGGCAGATTACTGTGCAAACGCTGTCATTGTAAATAATGGGTTTCTCCCCTTCCCCCAGTTTTATTGGTGTAGCCCTCACTGTCTAGTGCAGTGGTCGGCAAACCGAGGCTTTTGAGCCACATGCGGCTCTTTGGCCCCTTGAGAATGGCTCTTTCACAGAATACCACGTGTGTGTGTGCAAGTACAGTGTGAATGAAATTTCATGGCCCATGCGCAGAAGTCAGTTTTTGGTTTTCAAAAGAAATTTCAATCGTTGTACTGTTGATATTGGGCTCTGTTGACTAAAGAGTTTGCCGACCACTGGTCTAGTGGAATTACAGTTTTGATAAATATTACTTTTTTTTTTTTTTTGAATGGTCGCATATTTCTGAAGTCTGTTCAGGGCTTTCAATACTAGTATAGTCATCATCTGAATCTATGAGGACTGCAGTTCTCAGCATAGGCACAGACTCCTACCTCCCCTGAGATGAATTTTTATTCACTCTCTATCCCTATGAGTGCAGATCAGTCATTGAGATTTCTGAGAAGGTGTTTTCACCCTTGTTTCTGATCTGAGATGCTTGGTCTCACTAAAATTTAAACAGGGCAGATGTGGATGGGAGGGGTTCTTGAGGAGAGATCTCATTCTCATGGCTGTAATTCCCACTATAGTGCTGTTTTGTCAGATAATAGTGGTGTCATTTTTTGACAAAGTGCTATTTGCTCTATTAGTGAACTAGAAGCTTAAGATATTATTTAGAGATTTTACTGTTCTTATGTTAAGTTTATAGAACTGACTTAAAAATTTGCATTTATAAAAAACTTAAAACTTGATTGAACTTTAAGGGATTATCTATATTAGGGCAGAAAGGTAGAAGCAAACATTCTATTTCATGTGGAAACTAGAAATAAAAAATTTCAGAAGTACTGGAACCTTTGAAAAATACTGTTTTTCACCGAAACCGGTTTGGCTCAGTGGTAGAGCATTGGTCTGCGGACTGAGAGGTCCCGGGTTCGATTCCGGTCAGGGGCATGTACCTTGGTTGCGGGCACATCCCCGGTAGGGGGTGTGCAAAAGGCAGCTGGTCGATGTTTCTCTCCCATCGACGTTTCTAGCTCTCTATCTCTCTCCCTTGCTCTCTGTAAAAAGATCAATAAAATACATTTAAAAAAAAAGAAAAATACTGTTTTTCTGCGATATTTGGTAGTATCTAGGAATTATCAAGTATATAACTAGAAAATATTAACAAGCGGACACCTTGATTAAAGTTCTTTAAAATGTGAAGTATTTTTTTAATTCAAAAGTTAATTTGCAAATATTAACTTTTAAATGTTTTACTACAAATTGACAAGCTACAGAATTTTTAGGAGTCTGCTAATTTTCTTTTTTTTCTGATTTCTGAGAAGCAGACAAAAACTTGCAAACTGAAGAAAGCATCTCTGTTATAGTAAAACAAAGAAAGCTATTATGCTGTTACTGTCCTTCATAATATTAAGCAGATACAAGAAGCACTCATATTTATTAAAAGAGCTCAGGGATAGTATCAATTTTTGTAAAATAGTCCCTGAGTTCTTAATATTATCAATTTCTCTTTCACACATAATTTTTCATGTTTGTTGATTTCTCAGAAGTGAAGATTTGTTCACTTTGAGGCAAGTGCTGTATATTTTTTTAGATTCTTGTATTTCCACATGTGAAGTATTGTATGTAGGAATGTGAAACAGGCAAGAAATTAAGCCAGATTACCTATTGCACAAAAGCTTTACTACTGTGAAACAGCTGATGTGTTTGAAAGTCTTAGTGGGTCTCCTAAGCCATGGCTGAAGGTGATTGGAAATTGTCACATCATGTTCAGAATGGGTTGCTTTATTTCATACTTGATAGTTTCTTGTTGCCTTTAAATGATTGACCCTTTCCTTGCAGTTTTGCTCAGTTGGTAGAGCCAATGGACGAAGGGTCCTGGGTTTGATTCCGGTCAAGGACATGTACCTCGGTTGCAGGCTCCTGGCCCTGGTCGGGGGCATGCAGGAGGCAACCAATCCATCTTTCTCTCTCACATTGGTGTTTCTCTCTTTCCCTCTTTCTTCTACTCTCCCTAAAAATCAATGGAAACATATCCTCAGGCAAGGATGAACTCAAACAAATAAATGATATTGTACTTGTGCCACCGTTTAGATAAAAAGTCAGCAATAGTAACCCTTTCCATTTAGGATTAGGCTGTATTACTTGCATATACATTTAAATGGCTACTACATTGGCCTCCTAGTTGTTTCTTGGACATGAGACACACACTTCCCTTCAGTGCTAACTCCTCAACCTGGAACACTCACGTAGCATCCCTAAGGCCCACCCACTCCCATACTTCCTCCTGTAGAGCTTTGTTCCAATGCCACCTTATCAGATAGGCATTCCCTGACACCCTCCCTGCCCCCTTTGTTTTATTTTTTTCCACACTACTTACTGCCTTCTGACATCTGTGTGTTTTATTTATTTGTTGGCCTGTCTTCCCCCACTATAATATGAGCTCTCATATACATACCTCTCAGTTCTATAACATTCAATTTGTCATACTTCAGTTTTTCAAGAGGAAATAACAAAGATATATTTGAAGTATACTGTGTAATCCCACCCTGATTCTAATCCCTTCCCTTATTCCTCAAGGAAGTTATTTTGAATTTGTTATCAGTCTCATATATGTTTTTTTTATAGTTTTGATATATGTGTATATACCCATAAAATAGTATTATTTTGCATGTTTATGAACCTGATATAACTAGTTTCAGCATGCACATTTCTATCTGCAATTGGCCTTTTAAATTTAGTGTATATTTAGTGATTTCAATCATTGATTTTTACTATTATATAGCAGCCTACTAAATGAATATAGGTTCATTTATTCCATTGTGGAATAAATGAACTATATTCATTTAATTTCAGCATGCACATTTCTATCTGCAATTGGCCTTTTAAATTTAGTGTATATTTAGTGATTTCAATCATTGATTTTTACTATTATATAGCAGCCTACTAAATGAATATAGTTCATTTATTCCATTGTGGAAAGTTTAGCTGTTTTTAATATTTTTGCCATTACCAAAAAAAGTATTTTGTATGTTAATTTTCAAGCATTTCTGTAAGAAGTGTTCCTTGAAGATACATTGCCAAGAATAAATAAATACATGTGCTATTTATTTACCTTTTTGTGTTACTAATATTTTAACCCTCAACAAATTCTAAAAAATTCTGTAAAAATATTCTGAATTTTCCCTTCCTTGTTGTCATTTAAGAAATGATACAACTTAATGAGCCTAAATATTACAAAAAACCTAGTGTTGGGGGATCTGGAGTCTGAGCCAACACATAGGAATTGCTTACAACACAGATAGCTATATTTGATTGCACATAATCTTAAAATTTAGTGACTATAAAATAAGTTTAATGTATCAGTTTATAGCTAAAGCCCAATTTATGTCACTTTGCAGAGTTGTATAAAAGAGCATTTTCTGCAGTAGTAACTATTCTTTTTTCTCATCCCCTAGGTTGTATCAGAGTAAGATGGACGGTAGCTTTGATTGTGATTGTGGTGAGCTGGAGCCACCTGATCACTAACAAGAGACATCTGTTAACCAACAGCTGCCAGGGCTTCCTGTTGAAATATACAGCAACAAAGGAAGACAAGAAGCAAAACGGAAATAGTGCTTACCAGCACCTTAGAACGATGCTGCTCAGGACCAGTCTAACACTGAATGTATCTGCACTGTGAGGAGAATGTTCATAGAAGCCTGTTGTGTGCATATTTATTCACATTTTTGTTAAATGTTAAATCGTTTAGCACAGTAAATCTGAGTGCATACTATGTCATTTCATTCCGTTTGAGTTTCTCGAGTGTTTTCTTTAAATGTCTGCAGAATTGCTGCCCCTTTCTTGAACTATGAGTACTCCAATCTTTTTAATTCTCAATATGAGGAGAGCTTTTTGAGCTTTAAATCTAAGGGGAACTCAACGGGCCTGGTTGGCATATGCAATGAACATCAAGAAACCATCTTGCTGTGGAAGCAAAATTGTTTTTCTTCTCCCTTTTTGAAAGATCCTTCCTTTTGATGCCAGTTTTCTTCCTTGTTTACACAAGTTCAACAATTCGAGAGGAAAAGGCAATAGTAAGGGTTTCAAAATGGCAGAGAAATTTGAAAGTCTCATGAACATTCATGGTTTTGATCTGGGCTCTAGGTATATGGACTTAAAGCCATTGGGCTGTGGAGGCAATGGTTTGGTTTTTTCTGCTGTAGACAATGACTGTGACAAAAGAGTAGCCATCAAGAAAATTGTCCTTACTGATCCCCAGAGTGTCAAACATGCTCTACGTGAAATCAAAATCATTAGAAGACTTGACCATGATAACATTGTGAAAGTGTTTGAAATTCTTGGTCCCAATGGAAACCAGTTAACAGATGATGTGGGCTCTCTTACCGAACTGAACAGTGTTTACATTGTTCAGGAGTACATGGACACGGACTTGGCTAATGTGCTGGAGCAGGGCCCTTTACTGGAAGAGCATGCCCGGCTTTTCATGTATCAGCTGCTACGTGGGCTCAAATATATCCACTCTGCAAATGTACTGCACAGAGATCTCAAACCAGCTAATCTTTTCATTAATACTGAAGACTTGGTGCTGAAGATAGGTGACTTTGGTCTTGCGCGGATCATGGATCCCCATTATTCCCACAAGGTATGTGGAAAGCCAGCGAAACAGACCTTTAATGATGTACATCAGTAGGAATATGTACTTTTGTATTTCCTTTATGTACTGTGGCAGAATTTTTAGTTATTTGTATTAAATTTTACATAATATAGTACCTTATTACTTTTTATCCTTACCTGAGGACAGGTTTAGAAATCAATAATATTTTAGGTTTTCACAATTATGGTTATTTTTTTGTTTGTTTTGTAGATCCAGGATTCTTCATGTGCTATATTTTTATTTCTTTTCCAGGGTCATCTTTCTGAAGGATTGGTTACTAAATGGTACAGATCTCCACGACTTTTACTTTCTCCTAATAATTATACTAAAGCCATTGACATGTGGGCTGCAGGCTGCATCTTTGCTGAAATGCTGACTGGTAAAACCCTCTTTGCAGGTTAGAAAGTTAAAATATATGGAGTAAAATTTCAGAGATAATTTTTTATGTATTTATGAAGAAAGATTTATCTAAGACTTAAAGCAATTTATTATAGTCTGGAATATTAAAATGTAAAGATAAAATGGTGTTTTTAATATTTTAAAAGTTGAGAAAACTTATTCACATATTCACTTAATTGTTTACTCAGTTAATTTAGTGAGAATTATAGTGTTTTGTCCTGGCTGGTTAGCACAGTTGGCCAAAGCATCGTCTCTTTATGCTAAGGTTGTGGGTTCAATCCCCAACCAGGGCATATACAAGAAGGAACCAAAGAATGCATAAATAAGTGGAACAATAAGTCAGTGTTTCTCTCTCAAATCAATAGATTTTTTAAAAAAGGATTCTAGTGTTCTTTTGTATATATTTCTTAAATATAATTTTGTATTTCTTAGATCCATGACGCTTGTTGGTAACCTAGTTTTGTCAGTTTCTGTCACTTCCTGGTGATATTTTTTAGCTATTACTAAAAAATCTAGTTTTTCTTTCTTTGCCTGCCCTGTCCCAATCATCCCTGTTGTTTGAGCTGCCATATCCTGTTGCCTGGCTACTGTGATCTTTCAGAATCAAACAAACCAACTCAGAAATATTTTGCTGAGGCTAGTGCTATTTAGGGACTTAAAGTGTGTGTGAAAGAGAATTTAGTCAAGATGGCAAGAGGCAAATAATCCATGAAAAACACCAGCTATCGTAAAGCAAAGTTTTGAGTTGGTATATATCAGTGATGGCTGGAATGGAAGACATAAAGGAGTCAAAGGATTTTCACTAGGAATAGTGAAGAATTTTGAAAGGTGAAAAGAGAGAGAGAAAAAGTGGTATCTATTTATGGATAGCTGTATAAATAAGGGCCTGGGCCTGGTATACATGAATCAGTGAGAAAAGTTTGATGAAAACAAGGTGTCATATTTATGACTGGTTAAGATGGGGACAGAACACTTAGAAAGTAGACAGAGGAATTGCCATTTGAAAAAAGTAGGAAATAGTAGAGTACTGAAGATTTTACTGAAGATTTTTTTGAGTTAGAGAAGTGTTGTGTTGGTGATTTGCGTCTTTTTGTCTTTTTTGACTTACCTTTTTTCCTCTGTAACAAATGTTACAGTGGGCCTCCCACCATTCTAAGTTTGTGCTAAGGGCAGAAGGAAGAGAATGGAAGAGTCTGCTTACAAAAACAGTAAAAGAAAGATTAGGGTACGTAAGAAAGCTTTATTGAAAGGATGGTGTATATAAGTGCCTTTAATTTTTTTTTTTATATATATACTGATACTTATAGCACTAAGCTTAACTAACATTAACTAATCTTTTGGAATTTTTTCCTCCTAAATTTATCTGGAATTTCTTTCATGATGTGTGATAGTGATTGAATTTCATTGTAGAAAACAGAAAATACCAGTGATTACTGGAAATGAAATTGTTCAGTGGGTTAAATTTTTTTGAGGAACAATACTGTAATTACAAGTTATATTCCAGCATATATAAAATAATTATTACATTATTTGTTGTTAAGTGACAAATTACCTCAAAACTTAAGTGGCTTAAACAACAAATATTATCTCTCAGTTTTTATGAGTCAGGAATTTGTGAGTGGCTTTGCTAGCTGGTTCTGGCTCAGATTTGCTTAGTCAAGATGTTGGTTGGGGTTACAGTCCTCTGAAGCTTGGTGGGGATAGGAGATTCCACTTCTAGATAGCTTACTCACATGACTTTAAGTAGGAGGTCTTACTCAGTTCTGACTGTGAGTGTCTTCACAATATGGCAACTGGCTTCCCCCAGAACTAATGTCTAAAAGAGAGAGCAAAGAAAGTTAATGTATTTTTTTTTTAAAGAAATCAAACTTCTTTTTATAACATATTTTACTGAGTTTTTTTACAGAGGGGAAGGGAGAAGGATAGAAAGCTAGAAACATAGATGAGAGAGAATCATCGATCAGCTGCCTCTTGCACACCCCTTACCGGGGATGTGCCCGCAACCAAGGTACATGCCCTTGACCAGAATCAAACCTGGGACCCCTCAGTCTGCAGGCCGGTGCTCTATCCACTGAGCCAAACCGGTTTTGGCTAATGTATCTTTTTTAAGAAAGGTATTTTTTTTTAGTATGTTCACAGGATCTAATATAGAACATTTTTTCCCTCCTGAAAGATACCATGTAACCATTACACTGTTACATGAGAACTCTTAAGTTTTTGAAGAAACTTTACACTGTTTTCTAAAGCAGTTGTACCATTTTACATTCCTGTTAGCAGTGCATGAGTTCCAATCCTATATAATAAAAGGCTAATATGCAAACCAACCAAACTGTGGAACAACTGGTCACTATGACTGCATTAACTATCAGGGGGCAGACGCTCAACACAGGAGCTGCCCCTTGGTGGCCAGTGCGTTCCCACAGGGAAATATTCTTTCTCTGTTGAATTGCTCTGACCCCTTTATAAAAAATCATATTAGGTCTAGTAATAATTAATGTCGTTTTCTACTACTTTTTAAAATCGAATTTATTTAAACAATACAACAAAATTTAATCAACAATATAGTTGCTGTTGTTTTCTACTACTTGTGCCCAACGCTCAGGAAGCATTTTAATCCCTCTGTTGTAAAATTCTTGTGATTTTGATGCAAAAAATTCGGTCAATGCATTTTTGAGGCATTCTTCATTATTAAATTTTTTTCCAAGAAGAAAGTTTTGCAAAGAACAAAACAAATGGTAATCGGAAGGGGCAATATCAGGAGAATATGCAGGTTGAGGGAGAACTTCCCATTCCAACTGGCGCAGTTTTTCAGCAGTGATTCTTGCAGTATGCGGTCATGCGTTATCGTGGTGAAGAATTACGCCCTTCCGATTAATCAGCGCGGGTTCTTTTTCTCTTAAAGCTTGGGCTAACCTTTCCAATTGGGCACTATACACTGCACTTGTAATGGTTAGGTTAGATGGTAAAAGTTCATAATGAAGAATTCCTTTAAAATTCCACCAAACACACAACATCACTTTTTTCGCATGCAAGTCAGGTTTTGGTGTGGGCTGTGGACCCTCATTTTTGTCCAACCATTGAGGCTGCCTTTTCAAATTAACATACAGCACCCATTCTTCATCTCCGGTAACAATTTGCTCTAAAAACGGCAAACGGTTTTGACGAGAGAGGAGCGAACTGCAAATTGTGACTCTTTGATTACGGTTTTTGTCGATCAACTCATGAGGAACCCATTTTCCAAACTTTTGGACTTTGCCAAGTGCACGCAATTGATTGGAAATTGTTTTTTGTGAACAATTTAAACTTGTCGCAAGCTCTTGTTGGGTAATTTGAGGATTTTGCACCAAAAGAGCTTGAAGAGCTTCTTGATCAAAATTGGACACACGGCCTCGACCACTCTTGTCATCTAACGAAAAATTTCCCTCGCGAAATTTCTCAAACCAATGCTGGCATTTTCTGGCGCTAACTGCATCTTGACCAAGAGCACTACAGATGTTTTTTGCAGCCTCACTTGCTTTTCTTCCTAATTGGAACTCGTAAAGCATGCAGTGCCGAATATGCTCTTCATCCGCCATCTTCTTAGCCCTAGTTTTGCAACAAAAACCAAACCAAACACAAACTTTTTCAAGCAAAACTTGTTAATTGCACCTCACACGTTCTGTAGATACCACGTGTTTGAAGGTTATGTCAATACAAGTCAACGCCAAGCAAGATTTTAAACGAATGTTTAAAAACGACATTAATTATTACTATACCCGATAAATGCAAAATGTATTTTTGTTACTTAGACTCAAAAGTGACACACTATCACTTGAGCTTTATTTCATGTGTTAGAAGTAAGTCACTAAGTACACCTCACACTTAAGGGGAGGTGAGTTGGATATCACCCTCTGAAGAGAAGACTACCGAAGCATTTGTGGACGTGTTTTAAAGTTACCATAATATTTTATCAAGAAAGCAAAAATTTATCTTAAAATGTAGGTAATGTTCCAAGTTGTATGAAATGGGGTCAGAATTTACAGCTGAATTGATTAAACAAAGATAATGTATTTTGGTATATTCAGATATTGCATATGTATATCAATAAAAAGAATTTGATAAAAAAAAACAAACCACCTCTAAATAGCATAACTTTTATTTTCAACTCATGTAAACCATTTAATGGAATTATTTGTGAAATTATTTGAAAGATCCAGCTGTAGTTCCCTTCTAATGCTTTATTGATAGATTAGTGAACCGTTCTATAAAAGCAGCATGAAAGAGATCTAAGTGTTTTTTAGGGATAGTCCTCTCAAATGAACTGATCAATAAATGGCAAGGACTAAGCATTCATTGGAAATCTGTGTATTTTTAACCTATAAGAAGTGTCATGGTCTTATTTTTGGTACAACTTAATATGTCAATTGGATCTCTAATAGTTTCTCAAAATTTTCTCTTTCTGCTATCTTCCTCATCATAGTAAAACAGCCACTTCTTAGTTGTTTAGGCCAAAATCATCATCCTTCACCTTAGTCAGTTCAAATCCCGGCTTTTCCTTCAAAATATATTTAGAATCTGACTGCCTGCTATTATCTATCGCTATCCCCCACCCTTCAGTTCAGTCAGCTAGTATTTCTCTCCTGGTCTATATACGACCCTCTATCTAGCTTTCCTGCTTCAATATTTGCTATCTATAATCCAGTTACCACATAGCAGTCATAGTAGTTCTCTGAAAACAAGTCAAATTATGTCATTTCCCTGCTTAAACTAATGGCTTCCAATCCAGCTTAGGATAAAGCAGACCCTTTGTGTTCTATCTTAGGCTGGGATCTGCTCCACTATCTCAGCTACACTTGCCTAATTGTTAGACATTCCAGGCCTACTCACTCCTCAGGGCCTTTTGGGCCTTTTCCCATTTTCCTGGAATTTCTTTTATCTATATGAATATATGGTATGTTCCCTAATTTCCTCAACTTTCAACTTCTCAGTGAGGTATTTATTTCTTCGTAATTTTCTATGTATTAAACCTACCCTCAACAATCCTGTGTCCCCCCTTTAGCATATATTTTTCTTCATAGCATTTGTCATCATTTGACATAAATGTTTACATTTATTATCTGTTTTCCTCCACTAGATTGTAAACTCCATGAAAGTAGGTACTTGGTCTGATTTGTTTCATAGCTATAGTCTAAAGTGTCTTGCTTACAGTAGGCATTAAAGAAAAATTGGAATGCTGAATGAATTTCTAGAAATTAGTGGAAAAGCAAAATGAATGGTTGTGGGTTTTGTTTTTTTGCACCCATTTAGCCTAAAGTTTCCTCTTATTTAATTAGTGGTCCTGAAATGCTAACTGAGCCTAACACATAATTATAAAACTTTTTGTTTTGCAAATCTAGTTCAACCTTTCATTTTATTGATGATGAAATGAAGTCATCATCATGCTAAGTATTCCCAAAGTTATAGCCAATTAGGTAGTGGTATAGCTAAGACTAGAATCCAAGTCTCTTGAATCCCAATTCATTGATTCCCCTTCTTTCCCTCCACCCCCCACTCCTGAATACTTTGATACCTTAATATGAGGCCAGACTTTTAAGAGTTAGTTTCTTATGGAAATAAAGAACTAAAACTAAATATATTAATAACTAGAAATTGAAATAGATAGGCTTTTTTGGCAAGATTAATGTTATAAAAAAAAACAATGAAGCCTGCTGATTAATGATTCAGTTAAAACCATTTCTTCCACAATGGTCATTACAGTATTAAAGTTAACTTCTTAGAGCTTTAGAATGTTTATTACCAAATATGTAAACATTGAGGAATGTGTGTTTATATTTGGTGTGTTTTTTTTTTTGTTTGTTTGTTTTTTTATCTCATTCAGGTGCACATGAACTTGAACAGATGCAGCTGATTTTAGAATCTATTCCTGTTGTTCATGAGGAAGATCGTCAGGAGCTTCTCAGCGTAATTCCAGTTTACATTAGAAATGACATGACTGAGCCACACAAACCTTTAACTCAGCTGCTTCCAGGAATTAGTCGAGAAGGTATTGTGACTCAAGAATATCGTGCTTCTAACCTTATAGTCATAAAGTGTGTGTGTGTGTGTGTTTAAGCAAGCAGGATCTGTCTATGAAGCTTTAGCTTTTTATCCTTAGATGTATGACTTTCTCTTAAATATTAGTCTTTAGATACTTAAGGCATACCTAATACTTAAACTCTCACTTTCTCTTTCTTGGCCTGGCACTTAAGCTGGGATCTGTTTTCTTTGCTCCTTTGAATCATTTTCCACATTTCAGAAAGTGTAAACCTCCCTCCTGGTTGTAACTCCTTTTACTTTTTCAGTTTATACTCTGACTATCATAGATGAGCATATTGGATCACTGGCTCCCTAAGCTGGAATGGAATTGTGTAAGGGTTATATAAATAAGTATAGGTATGAGTAAGAATGATTTAGGTATGAAAAAGTGAATTTAGTTGGGGGGGGGGGGAGGGGAGAAGCAAAGGCTTCAGGACAAGGAGGAAGTGGAGGAATGAGCAAAATTGTTTACTGAGCAAACACATTACATAAGTTTGCAGATTGATGTTAGTATTAGGTGCTAAAGTGGAAGTTTATGCAAGCTTGAAAGTAGTAGGAACTTGGGGAGAATCAAAACTTTATTTACCACTAAAACAATTTCATATCTAAAAATACTGATATATCTTTAGATTTGATATAAATAAGATACAAAAATCTTTAACTCTTATAGTAATCTGTCATTAAAAAAATTTTTTTTAGGAAGTGCATTAGACATGAAAAATACCTTCTTTAAAAGTTGATTGTGTCTTACATCTTTAAACATTATATTGTATTAAAAGACATCAGTGTCAGGATTGTATAGTTCTGTCATGAATCACAAAGTGAGAGATATGTAGTTTCCTAAACATTTTAAACATTATCTGAATTATACACCCATTATTCATATGAGGTGTGTGTGTGTCAGTGTTTTAAAGTAGCAAGTGTTTTTAGAAGTAGTTAGGCACTAGTTTGCAAATCATGTTGACATTGTCTCCTCTTCCCAGATATGCTTGGAACTCATATAGTAAATGCCTAAATAAAAAGGTAGCTACTGTATTTAATTTCAACAGGTTTTGTGGGCTTTCTTTTAAGTAGTTCTACATTCCTAACCAGCCTTCACTGTCCTCATAATCAGATTCCATTGCTAGTTCTCGTGCTTCTAACCTTATAGCCGCTGTCACAACATCCTGCTCGTAACTGAATAGCAATCACATACCACTTGACTATGCCTCAGAGTTTTCTGCGGGAACTTTTTAAAAATGCAGACTATTAAGTCAGAATCCAGAAGTGGGGTGGGGACCAAGGCAGGTATCGTTATTTTTAAAACTCCTACAGGTATGGTCTTGTCAGCCAAGTTGAAAGACACTGCTTAGGGATCAAGTGGTTAGGCTCTGCAGTGTGTTATTGCTCTATTACTTTGTCTTATCAAAAGAGACAAGCTAGAAATATTGGATATTGCTGTTAAAGCACTGTAATCTAGCTAAATTTGAATCTTCTTTTTTGCTACCCTCATTAAGGTGGGACAATGTCTCAGTCAGCTACAAACCAACCTGAAAATTTGGCTCACGGCTGGAATTAATTCATAATGTGTTGAATGAGTGTCTTTGATAATGGATTCATTAAGTTAACCATTGGGCAAATATTCCTGATATTCACAAGTGGCAGAACCGTGCTCACTAATGCAGTGTTTAAAGATATGTTCTATATCAATTAACACATTAAGACTATTAGGACCCTTTCTTTAGACGAATACCCTCTTCATTTTCCTCTATCATATTTACCTCTCATCCTCCCTTTCTCTGTAATTTACCACATATTTCTTTTCTTTTTTTTTAAATATATTTTATTGATTTTTTACAGAGAGGAAGAGAGAGGGATAGAGAGTTAGAAACATCAATGAGAGAATCATTGATCAGTTGCTTCTTGCACACCCCTCACTGGGGATGAGCCCGCAAGCAAGGTACATGCCCTTGACCAGAAACGAACCCGGGACCTCTCAGTTCGCAGGCCGACGCTCCATCCACTGAGCCAAACCGGTTTCGGCCACATATTTCTTTTATTTATTTGTTCATTTATTTAATTATTTTTAAAAACATATTTATTGACTTTTTACAGAGAGGAAGGGAGAGGGGGAGAGAGTTAGAAACATCAGTAAGAGAGAAACATCGATCAGCTGCCTCCTGCACACCCCCTCCTGGGGATGTGCCCACAACCAAGGTATATGCCCTTGACTGGAATCGAACTCAGGACCTTTGAGTCCGGAGGCCAACACTCTATCCACTGAGCCAAACCGGTTAGAGCTACCACATATTTCTATATCTTAGACTCATTTCCTCTAGAGCAGTGCTGTCCAATAGAACTATCTACAATGATGGAAATGCATATACTATTTGTGCATACACTTGGGAGCTCAATGTGGCTCCCAAGTTTCTTATTTCTTCCTCTTTTTATTAGTTGCATGCTAGGGATCTTACTATATATTCTTCTTGTGCAGTTGAATATATCTCCTCCTCTCTAAGAATGGTGATTGTGCTGGGTCAACCATCCATAATTCTGTGCCTTCCGGTCTCTTATGCCTTGAGACATGTGGGCCCAGAGGTAATTAAAACTCCCCCCCCCCCCCCCAGGAGAATCAAGGATAGTTTGATATATTGTGAAATGACCTCCTAGGTTAGGATAATAAAATAGAGCAAAGGAAGGAATCTCAGCCCTGGGTCACTGAGGGGTATGAGTACCAATGAGCCTTAGGTTTTTTTCTCTTTAGTTTTTATTAGACTGATTTGAGGGTTGAATAAGATAATGTGAATAGGGTCATTTCTAGAGTATAGCGTAGTTTAGAGAACGGCTATCTGTTCATTTGAGACAGAAAGTAAGGATAATAGGATATGTGACAGATCATAGTGAAGAAGCAAGAATTGAGATAAATGTGAAGTGGGTTTACCTGTTGAGAATGACAGGGAAGATTGAGAGCATGAAGGGATAGTGTAGAACATTGCTGAACACAATAGCAAAGGCTAAATTGAAATTTTACAGTATGAATTTGTAGTGAGACAGATATATATGTGATTTTCCATCTAGCTTTCATCAGTTCTATATGGTTAGGAAGCAGACAAAGTAGATGTTGGAAATGTTTCAGAGTTGAAGATTGGTGTAAATTATAAAGCATACGAATGTGTGGTGGTGTAAGAGCAATCTTTAAGCTGGTGATAGTGTGGTTCAGGTGGGGTAAGGAGTTTAGGAAGATCTAACAGTCTGAATTAGTGGGAAGAATTAGGTGTATGGTAATTCCACCAGGGCCCTAAAATGATCAAGAGCATTATGTGATATGCTGGCATGAGATTCATGTGAACAGAGATTCGTGACTAGTATAACAGCTAGTCAGTGAGATGAGGGAGGAAAGGAGAAAGTCTTTTTATTAAGCACTAGATACTAAGTTTTTATAACTTACAAGATATCTCTATCCATTTTATACATGAAGAAACTGAAGTTCAGCAGATTTAAGTAACCTAGTAATCAGCAGATTTCAGTAGCACATACACATGGAGAGTTTTTTTCTATTCAGTGAAATTAGTGAGTTGCAAAGCTGAGATTAGGACCTATGTATTAGGTTGAGCCACATGAAATTGCTGTTATTTGACCTTTTTTTGACTGACAAAAATGGTAGTTTCATATGGCTCATATTAATATATTTATTTTCTTTTATAATTGACCATAAAGTGAGTTTTGGAGTACATTTCAAATTTTTGCTATGTTTATTGAATGAATGTCTTTTCTTTTTATATATATATTAGGCTAGTTTTATATCTCTGACAAAACTTTAATTAATTTACCTTTTAATTGCATAGACCTTTTTTATTTCCTTTATGAGGTGTTAGACCTTCAGTGTAGTTAAGGAGTTTTATCTCTTTCTTTTGCAGCACTGGATTTCCTGGAACAAATTTTGACATTCAGCCCCATGGATCGGTTGACGGCAGAAGAAGCACTTTCCCATCCTTACATGAGCATATATTCTTTTCCAATGGATGAGCCAATTTCCAGTCATCCTTTCCATATTGAAGATGAAGTTGATGATATTTTGCTTATGGATGAAACTCATAGTCACATTTATAACTGGGAAAGGTAAATTGATCCTAAATTAGAAAAATATTTATTGTATTTTTAATAAATCACAATACAGTGAAGTTTATTTTAAAATTATATATAACACAATGTAGAATTCTTAAAAAATGTAGTAAAAGTCTCGCTGGGTTTAGAAGATGGATGAGAAGAATCAACCCTATACAATAAGATATCTCCATAAGTATCTCATTTTTACATATAATTTATTATGTCAAAGGATATAAATTATGATATTTACATTAAAATGTTTTTTTCTCATGACAATTTATTTGGGAATGGTTAACATAAGTTCAGTATAAGGAACTTTTCTAATCTGAACCATATAAAACATCAAAATGTATACTGTTACACATTTTAGTTAAAAGGATTTCTTCCCCCTGCTGCCTTTTAGGATTTATAAATTCTAGAGAAGTTTGGATATAAGTATCTTAAAAGTGGGTTGGTAACATATAATAATGAATCAATATTATTTAAAATCTTCAGGTGATTTTGTTATGTAGTCAGATTTGGGAATCCCAATGACAATCTTAAAAACTTCAGGAATTCATATATTTCTGTGTTTAAAAGAAAAATGATTGCCAATTAATAAAGAAGTTGTTAATGTTGAAATTAGTTTGTTTACTCATGCATTTTTTCTCCTAAAATGTGGAGGTATTTCTGAATATGTTTACATACATCTGCCAACTCCTTTTTTTTCCTTCCACATGGACATTTCTACCACATATATACACATTCTTTCCAAACATACCCAAATGTATTCCAATCCCTTTGTTTTTTTTATCATACTTAGTTGAATCACCTAACCTCTTTTCTGTTCCCACCTTCCCATCTCCCCAATTGTTTGTGTGTGTGTGTCTCCATCTGCCTCTACCTGGGCAGTGTGGTCACCTTGCTGTGATGTCAGTAGAGGATACTGCATTCAGTAGCACATACACATGGAGAGTTTTTTTCTATTCACTGGGGATGAGGTCCATGAAGCCTTCCTCTCTTTCTAGTCTGCCTATTACCAGTAGAGAGAAAATCTGTAAGACTTGATTGAGATTAGAGATCTGCATTTAGTGGCCATAAAGTGTTTTGTCTCTGTAAAACTGTGTTGGAATTAAGCTATCGACATGTCAACCACTCAGATGTTCACCTGCAATTGTATTTAAGGTGGATGAAAAATAGAAAAAAGAGGAAGTTAGTGTGAAATTATAATTGGTCTTATTTAAGAATGGAGGTCCCAGAATTTTTATAGTATATATTTCATTAGTAATTACCAAATATTGCCTCATTTTTCTTTATGGATACAGATCTTACCTGCCTATTAAGATTATAAGTTTCTGAGGGCAGGGAAGACATAACTTTAGACTCTATTATCTTTCAGAGACTTTTTACAGTGCTTTCACCTCAAGGGCATTCAGTGAATTTACAAATGAAATTTGACATCTGGACTAACAGTAATGTGTTGATTCTTTTTTCAGGTACCATGATTGTCAATTTTCAGAGCATGATTGGCCTATACATACTAACTTTGATATTGATGAAGTTCAGCGTGACCCAAGAAATCTGTCTGATGTCACTGATGAAGAAGAAGTACAAGTTGATCCTCGAAAATATTTGGATGGAGATCGTGAAAAGTATTTGGAAGATCCTGCTTTTGATACCAATTACTCCACTGAGCCTTGTTGGCAGTACCCAGATCATCATGAAAACAAATATTGTGATCTGGAGTGTAGCCATACTTGTAACTACAAAATGAGGTCATCATCATATTTAGATAACTTAGTTTGGAGAGAGAGTGAAGTTAACCATTACTATGAACCCAAGCTTATTATAGATCTTTCCAATTGGAAAGAACAAAGCAAAGAAAAATCTGATAAGAAAGGCAAGTCAAAATGTGAAAGGAATGGATTGGTTAAAGCCCAGATAGCTCTAGAGGAAGCATCACAGCAACTGGCTGAAAAAGAAAGGGAAAAGAACCAGGGATTTGACTTTGATTCCTTTATTGCAGGAACTATTCAACTTAGTTCACAACATGAGCCTACTGATGTTGTTGATAAATTAAATGACTTGAATAGCTCAGTGTCCCACCTAGAATTGAAAGGTTTGATATCAAAGTCAGTAAGCCGAGAAAAACAAGAAAAGGGAATGGCAAACTTAGCTCAATTAGAAGCCTTGTACCAATCTTCTTGGGATAGCCAGTTTGTGGGTGGTGCAGAGGACTGTTTTCTCATAAATCAGTTTTGTTGTGAGGTAAGGAAGGATGAACAAATAGAGAAGGAAAACACTTATACCAGTTACTTGGACAAGTTCTTTAGTAGGAAAGAAGATACTGAAATGCTAGACACTGAGCCTATAGAAGATGGGAGGTTTGGAGAGAGAGGAAATGAGGAAGGGTTTCTGAATAACGGTGGTGAGTTCCTCTTGAACAAGCAGCTTGAATCCATAGGCATCCCACAGTTTCACAGTCCAGTTGGGTCACCACTTAAGTCAATACAGGCCACATTAACACCTTCTGCTATGAAATCTTCCCCACAGATTCCTCATAAAACATACAGCAGCATTCTGAAACATCTGAACTAAAACACTCAGCAGACATTTCTCTTCGTATTCTTCATGAAATGTGTTTGTCTTTTTTTATTACTAGTGTTTAAGTCATTTTTTTACTTGAATCAGATGGTTTCATTTAGAAAGGATTTTATTAGTTCTTGGTTTTTAAAATCCAGACTTTTTTCCTACATGTGAGATGGTTTTCATTTTAACTGGCATGTCATTTGCACACACACAAAAGAATAGAGCAAAATAATGCAATGCAGGAGGAGACAAAGAAATGCACTAAGACAGTAAAAAACATTCTCTCATAGAACAATGATCTGTTTTACAGGAAACAAAAATCTTGCCTTGAAATTTACACAGTGAGACTGTACATAATTGCATGGAAATATCTATTTTTTTCCTAAAACATTTTTCATTCATGAGTATTTTCAAGTTTTTCATACTGTACACGTTTCTTAAAACACATGATACCAGCAGCAACTGAAAATGAATGCCGAATTTGGTACACATGTGTTATCTACCTCAAGGTAACAAAAGTATGTGGCAAAACATATACCACCCATAGTGCTTCACAATATGCACTTCTATTTAGCCAGCGTTTATTGTAGTAAACTATTCTTAATAAGATTCACTCACCATTTATAAATGTTCTGGTATGCATTCTTTATAGTGAAGTGTTACTACATCACATCTTATTTATTTTAGCAAAGCAGTATATTTTCTGTATTTAATTATAAAAAGTTAACTTAGTTTTTGAAATTTATTTACAAATACACTTTTTCCATTTGGCACTATGGTTTGTTGCCTACTTAGCTGAATATATAATGTCAGCTTATCCTAAAGGCTGTCCCTGTACTTAATTTACTTAAGTATTCATTTTAAGTAAAGTGCTCACTGTGTATAGGAATTTGTATTTTGGAGGTGCTTGATCTTACAAAGAAAAATTAGGAATTACTTTATTATAAAATGCTCCTAGAAGTCTTAATTGTGTTTATTTTTAAAAAACAACAACTGTAATGTTAGACTTGTGTGCATGGAAATAATTAAGGTACATCATAATTGTAGTTTAAAAGTTGTACATGATAAGACATATTTTGTTTTTACTGTATGTTTTTACTGAATGATCTATTCCCCATCCCAAGGCAAGCATGAATAAAATTAGGTTAAATGTAGCATGTGGCATTGCAGTCTCTTAGAATTTGTTTCATCCATTTTATTTTATTGAATTGAATACTGTCTGTATCTTTTTTTGGTTATCCTGTTTGAAGAAAAATGACAAATAAAACATGGCCAACAAATGTGGCTCCTGTATAACTTTAGATAATTGAAATTACCTGCTAGAATAAAAATTACTAGCAGAATCTGTATCTAGTTCCACTTATGAGCATTTTTTAATTATGGCTATAGTTTAAGCTGTATTAGACTATTAGCTTCTGCTCCCTCTTTCAGCTCCATGTTGAGACTATTGTTCTTTATCTCCACGCAAAATCTCTTATCTGCACATAATTAAATGGAACTAAAGCTTTCTGTAGTCATGTACTGCTTAGCGATAGGAATATTTTCTGAGAAATGCATCCTTAGATGATTTTGTTGTGCAAACATCATAGAGTTCCATTACACAAACCTAGAAGACACAGCCTACTACACATCTAGGTTGTATAGTATACCACTGTCTTATATGTGTCGTTATTGAAATGTTATGTGGCACATGACTGTATTTTAAAACTCAAAATGTGTATAGAAGCTTTGATCTGCATAGTCAGGAACCTCTTTTATATATTTTTTTCCTCCAATCTTTCCTTTGCTCAAGAACTTACCCTTTTTTTAGAATATTCGCTTATTTCAATTAGCCTATTTAAATTACCCTGAAAACTTGTCTACTATTTTACTGTCAAGCTTATTACTCTAAAACAATCTTATTTTACCATGTAAAGAGTGGAAAGGACTATTTGCCTTCTTGGGTAGGCCCTGGGCATTCCTGGTGGTAGGCTGGATTTAGATAACTTCCCCACACCACAGGTACAAGACTACTCAAACAAGTCTTGTTGCAGTGAGAGGCAGCTGCTATCAGCCAAGTCTCTGTCTTTTACCTGGGTCCCTGGGGATGGGAAGTTAAGCAACCATGGGGGCAGGAGACTCCCTCAGCAGGGGTGAGGGTTCAGGCCCCTGTGAAATTGGGTGTGTGTGTGTGAGGGTCTGTGCCCCATCTCAGTTGACCCCCAAGTTCTCTCCTGATGGCCCCTCTTCGACTGTGCCTGTCTTAGGTTGTTCCTTCCTTGAGGAATCTTACCCATCTCTGGCTAACCAGCCATCCTCTGGGGCCAAGCAGGGTAATGTGAGGTTCAGTTCTGTCTCCTTTGTATCCTATGCCCCCGTGGCCTCCACATCTAGCTCCTGCCTTAGGATCCCCTCACCTGCTAGCGTTGATCACATATCTTGGGGAACCCGGGTTTCTTCCCTAGGGAGTGCCCAGGTGTGAAGCCTTTAGACTGGCTTATTTCACTGAGTAATATAGATTAGTCTGCTTGATTGTGTCTCCTTATGGCCCTTAGGTTTTGTACACTTTTTTCATTTTGTTCCTCTTACTCCAACTTGACAGTTCAAATAAACTTATCTTAGAGTTCACTAATTTTTCTGCTTGATCAAGTCTGATGTTGATGCTCTCTAGTGGATTTTTCAATTCAGTTCTTTTGTTCTTCAGCTGCAGAATTCCCATTTGATTCTTTTAAAAATATATTTTCCATATTCTTATTTTGTTCATGCATTGTTTTTCTGATTTTGTGTAGTTCATCTGTATTCTCTTATAGCACATTCGCTGTCTTTTGTTTGTTTTGTTAATCCTCACTCAAGGATATTTTTTCATTGATTTTTTTTTTTTGGGGGGGGACATCAATATGAGAGAGGCAAATCGATTGGTTGCCTCCTGCGTGCTCCCCAGTTGGGGCCAGGGATGAATCTGCAACTCAGCTATATGCCCTTGGGAATCAAACCCAAGACCCTTTAGTGTGTGTGCCAACACTTTAACCACTGAACCACACCAGCCAGGGCACATTGAGTTTCTTCAAGATGGTTATTTTATTCTTTGTCAGATAACTAATAGATCTCCAGTTATTTTTGGCAGCGTATAGAGATTTATTTTTTCTTTGATTGAGCCATGCTTCCCTGTTTCTTCATGTGTCTTATTTTTTGTTGTGATTTTTGCATTGGAAAAAAAACAGCTGCCTTTGCCTATCTTTACAGACTGGTTTTGTACTGGGAAAGATCTTCAATCATCCCAGCTAGAGATTTTTGAGGCATCTCAAGCCTTGTATGGGGATGGATCATCTCTATTTGTGTGTATAACTCCTCCCTTGCCCCCAATAGATTCTTTTTTCTGGAGGTTATAGTTTCTTGCTCCTTCTGGTGTCTGACTGAATTACATCTGGTTCTCTGGCACTACAACTCCCTGAGCTCACTTTCTCAGTGGCTCCCAGGCATCAAATTAGTGCTTTAAGTCGGGTCATGCTGGAATCAGTCTCTTAGGCAGCCCTCCCACCGCCTGGCACATTGACGATTATTCTCTTTCCCTCCTGAGGAAGAAGCTGGGATGCAAGCTTTTCCTTCTAAGCATGAGCTATGCTGGCTCCGGGGAGGGGCTGAAATGGTAGAAATGAAACAGCTTTTCTTTTTACTCTTTTTAATGTACTTGGCTTTGAGGTTGTCTGGGATACTGTGACTTTCTAACTGGTTTCTGGAGTTCTTCTAAAGGCTTTATGGATTATATATTGTTAAGTTCTTATTTCTGTGGGGTAGTGATGTCTTGGGCTTCCCGTTCTGCCATCTTGCTTATGTCCAAAAATAATTTACTTTTTATTTATTATTTTTATTTTATTTTTTATTTTTTTAAATAAGTTTTTATTGTTCATATTATTACAAATGTTCCTTTTTTCCCCCCCACCATTGCTCTCCTCCACCAGGTTCCCAACCCACCCTCTGCCCTTTCCCCATTCCCCATTGTCCTCATCCATAGGTGCACAGTTTATGTTCAGTCTCTTCCCACGCCCCCCTCGCCCCTTTTCCCCAAGAATCGTCAGTTCACTCCCCTTCCATACCTCTGATTCTATTATATTCAACAGTTACTATTGTTCATCAGATTTTTTTTTTTAATTTCCTTGGTTTTTAGACTCACTTGTTGATAGTTATGTATTTGTTGTTCATAATTTTTATCTTTGTTTACTTTCTCTTCTGAAAGAACCCCCTTCAGCAGTTCATATAATTCTGGTTTGGTGTTGATGAACTCCTTTAGCTTTTTTTTTATTAGTGAAGCTCTTTATCTGACCTTCGATTCTGAGTGATAGCTTTGCTGGATAGATTATCTTTGGCTGTAGGTTCTTACTATTCATCACCTTGAATATTTCTTGCCATTCCCTTCTGGCCTGCATGGTTTCTGTTGAGAAGTCAGCTGACAATCGTATAGGTGCTCCTTTATAGGTAATTACCTTCTTTGCTCTTGCTTCTTTTAATATTCTCTCTTTGTCTTTTGCTCTTGGAATTTTAAGTATGATGTGTCTTGGTGTGGTCTTTTTTGGATTCCTTTTGTTTGGAGTTCTGTGCGCTTCCTGGACTTGTAAGTCTAATTCTTTCACCAGGTGGGGGAAGTTTTCTGTCACTATTTCTTTCAGTATGTTTTCGATATCTTGCTCTCTCTCATCTTCTGGGACCCCCATAATTCTGATGTTGGTTCGCTTGAAGTTGTCCCAGAGGTTTCTTACATTATCTTCAATTTTCTGGATTCTCTTGCCTTCTAGCTTCTGTGGAGGAGTGTCTTCTGGCTCTTTATGTTCCAAATCTTTGACTTGATTCTTGCGATCTTCCCTTCTGTTTTTAGGACTCTGTAAAATATTTTTTATTTCAGACAATGTATTCTTTATTTCTTGTTGATCCCTTATCATTTCTCGATGACTCCTTATTAATTCTAGTTGATCTCTTTTCATATCCTCATAGGCCTTATCCATCTTTTCTAGGAAATTCTTGAAAAACCTTATAAGCGTAGATTTGAACTCTATATCCAGGCGCTTTTTGTCCTCCATTTCTTTTGTTTGTGATCTATTTTGTTGTCGCATTTCACAGTTACAGATGGGACAGGGTTTCAGGGTGGAGCCTGCAGCTTTTTATTTATTATTTTAAAATATATATATTTTTAATGATTTTTCAGAGAGAACGGGAGAGGGAGAGACAGAAACATCAG